TTGGCACTGTCTTTGGTGCAAGGCAGTGTTGCAAGTTTCTGACCAGATAGCACTTGCCGTTCGTGGCACGTAGGTGTCCTGGAGGGACCTGCCCCTTTCCACAGACTAATTAGTAACAGACACAATTAGACTACATGCTTAACTTTGCCATGACCCCGGTTTGGTGAACAGAATCCTGCACTGCTCTGCAATGTAGAGAGAAGGTCAGTCTCTGAAGGGGTGGAACATAGTTCCAAATGGCTGCTCCCTAAAGCTTGAAATACTGAGCTGAACTCAGCTGAACAGACCAGAAAAGGGAAATGCTTCCTGATTCTGTTCAGGCGTCCCTTCAGGAAGGGAGGAGAGACACAGTCCGTTGACTGATCCAGGGCAAACCGAGATGTTTTCCTCCAGTGATGGTAGTTTTTTCCCCCCAGAGGTGTTTTCCTTCTCTAGCCTTTTCCACCCCTAAAGCCCCCTTTTTATACCCTACATTTTGGGCCATCCCAAGAGGTGGAACAATCACACACTCTAGGTGGGGTTTTGTGAGTTATACATGCATTACACAACATGTCTTCCTTCATTTGCATCCTGAGGGTGTGTAAGCTAATAAGTTAATGGGGCTCAATGAGGGTGGGCAATTGAGAAATACCACACATTTCCTGTTAGCTGCCTAAGAGCTTGTTGGAGATTCAGTTACAGATGGACCATGTCTGTACTGCCCATCTCACTTAGGAATCTGTGCCTCTCCATGGGTAGATAATGACCCAGGAGAGCAGCAGCACAGTGCTTTGGGAATGCATGAGCACATCAGACTTTGAGTCTTGCCATACAACTGTTGTATGGGAAGTTTAAACCTGCTTCGCTTCATTTCTGTGCAGGTCCTGCCAGAAGAAGACCGTGGGAAGATTACTTTGTTAGACATGCATACTCAGGGAGAGCTGTTTCCAACCCAGCAGCAGCTAGAGCAGCAGGAGGAAGAGCAGAGAGAGAATGGGCAGGTAAACCTGACTAGCTAGGTAACAGTGAAGGGCAATAACAAGATCATAAAACATAGGTCTTGGGCCTGAGGAAGTAAGAGCTACCATGGGCATTGAAAGCACAGAGCCTCGTAATCTCCAGTGATCAGCACCAGGAAGGGAGGGTTACAATGGAAGCAGAGCTGCATGGAGAAACAGAGAGAAGTGGCTGAATTAATGTAATTTTGAGACTGAAATAGGAAAAACTTGAGCCTGATGGCAGGTCCCAGTAATCTTCTCCATTTTTGTTTACAGAACATCAAGACAAAACTGCAAGCACAGCTGCCTGAAGCTCAGAGGAAGACCAAGGCAGCTGAGGAGAGACATGTGGAAGAAACAAAAAGCATCCAAGATGAAATGAATCTATTTCAGCAGAGCGGGGATCTGCAAAACGAGATGAGGGAAACAGTGGCAGGAACTCCAGTCAAGAGACTTTCTCTCCCCCTCCGCTTACAGAACAGCAGGGAAAAGCTGCAAGCAGAACTGCAGAGAGCTTGGAGTGAGATCAAGGCCATGGGAGAAAGGCACGAGGAAGAAATGAAAAATATCCAAGAGGATGTGAATCTCCTACTGCAGCAGAAGGAGACTCTACGAAAGCTGGTGAGTGAAACAGCGGTAGCCACTCCAGTCACCAAAGAGGTGTCCTCCCACCTTCTTGCCTTTCCATTGCAGAGCAGCAGCTGATGGGGGTAATCACTCTGACTGCCTTCATGCTGTGGTCTCTCTCACAGCTGATCTGAAGGAGATTTACTGGTCCACTGATTCTCAGCTGTCACTCTGGACAGCTGGGCTCATCCTTTGGCCTTTTGCCCAGCAATAATCCCAATGGATTTCTGCTGGCCTGTTCCTGCTAGCCTTGTTTTTTGAGGTGTTTCTTCAGGTGAACATGGCAACTCACATATGGAACAAGTTGTCTGTATCCATTGGGAATCTGGTCGTCTCGTGTGCTTTCCCTTTCCTCACAGTGTATGGCTGTAGTCTCTCCTCACAGTGAGAAGCTGTAGTCTCTGACTGCTTTGATCTGTTTGACTTGAGGTGGAAGAGTTGACGTCTCATCTGGCAGCCCCCAAACTGTCCCAGCAAGTGATTGGCAACAAAGCTCAGCAAGGTCAGAGAAAGGGACAGGAACGGCCAAGGGAGGAGGTGCTGGAGGCTGAGCACTTACAGAAGATGATGGAGGAAAAGAAGACTCAAGATGAGGAGGTAGAACATTAGAACAAGGAACTGCAAGTGGTCTGCAGCACTTGGAGGGGGAAAAGAATTCTTGTGAGAAAGTGGAGCAGTCATTGTTGCAGTCATCTTTTAGAAAGGCTGCTAAAATGGAATATGAAACTGTCCATTAACTCATGTAGAACCAGCCTTTTGTTTTTTCCAATTCAGTTTGAGAAGTGGACATCAAAAAAAATCCTGAATGTGGCCTACAGCATCTTCCTAAGGGCTATCATTTGAAATGTGATCTCAGGGCAATCTCTGCCAGCCACCTTTCTGACATGAACTTATCTCTTGTCCCAGATCTACATAGGCTCTGTCATTGAACCTACTGCTGCAGTAGCCTCGTCTAAAGAAGCCTCCACTCCCCAGCCTGAAAACTTGACTACGAGCAGTTGGCTCAGCTCAAGCCAGGTGGAAGCTTTTCTGCAAGACATGGTAGAGGAGGCATCCCTGAACATACTGAGTATGTCCTGTGTACTTCTTGTCTGATGGAGCAGTGTTTTGTCTGCAGGTCTCAGCATGAGCTGTGCCAAATGTTCCTCCTCAGTTTAGTGTCACAGGGGCATTTAGAACTCCTTACAGAAACTGTTGTGCTTTGAGTCAGTGAGAACACTCTGGATATTCCTACTGCTTCTGAGGGAAGGTTGGACTGGTTTGCATTTGGCTGAACGTCCCTCTCTGCTAAAGGCAAAAGCAGGGAAATGTTCCCAGATGAGCAGAAGGCTGTGACCTAGTGAGTGACCTAGTGGAGTCCTGTGTGCTAGTGCCCAAATTGATCAGAATATTTGGCTTCCTAAATTCACAGAAGTTGATTGGATTTGAGTTTTGTGGGTTTGTGGGCTTTTTGGTTGGTTAGTTGGGGCTTTTTTTGTTTGGTTTGGGTTTGGATTTTTTTCGTGGAGTTGGGTTTTTATTGTCCTCCATCCTGAAGGAACCGTCCTGCACCAGGTATCTTATTGATGTGGGTTTTATGATTGTTATTACTATCACTGTTACTTCTACAGTTTGTTTCTGTAAGAATGCTACATTTTTGTCAGTGAGAACTCCTTTGAAAGAACATTAGATGACAGCACAAATAGAGAGGAAGGGGCGTTTTCAATATGCCCCCAAAGGAAAAAAAAAGATACTTTTATAATCCCTATTTAATTTCTTAGTTTTATGCTTATAAGGATGTATCAAAGAGACACATCTACGTGGTGTGAAAACTGCACTGCAGGCATTTCCCAGGAGCGAGCCTCCAGTCCAGCCGCTATATATTCCTCAGATACATGGCATTTTGTCATGGCTGATTCCCAGCCAGTTAAGACTATTAGAATCCTCAGCATTGGCCCCAACCCCTGCACAGAACAGACTCTAGGAAAACACAGCAAGCCCTTTGTGATTCTGCAGGACAACCAATTCAAGCTGCCAGTGCTGTGTTCTCAGATAATCACTGGCTGAGTTCAGAACAGAGCCCAGCTTACTCTGTGTCTGCCATCACCTGTTGAGACAAAAAGTGGATTGATCTGCACCTCCTTGTGTCTGATCTCAAAGCCAATAATGTTCTGTCTTGAATGGGGGCCACAGCTAGTAACAGGGCTCAATCTGGCTGTGGCTTCTTCATAGTGGTTGTCAGGGCTCACTCGGGCTTTACTGACATTTGTCATACCTGCCCTGCCCGTGATAGCTGCTGTTCCAGCTCTCCTTAACATTTGTAGATTAAAAACTTACTTACCTTGGCACCTGTTCTCTTCTGATCTCTGCCTCCTCTGAACATATCTCTATGTGCTTAGTTTCCTGTCAAGGTAACACTTCAAAGGACTGTATAAGAGTCAGTCTTTGTGCAGACCCTCTGTGCTGCGGAGCTGCCAGTCTTGTTATTGTTGTTGTTACCCAGCTGCCCACAAAGGGCTCAGAGCTCCAGAGAGTGGGGCTGCATTTCGAACCTCCTGAAAGGCGGCATCTCAATTTTAAAGTGAGCATCTTGCATTTTGTTTCTTTCAGGGAGAATGGTGAGCGTGGGAGATCCTTTGCAGAAATACATTGAATTGGAAAACATTGGCAGTGGGTGAGTCCAACCACAGTTACTTCTACAAAACCATGGGCCAGGTATTTTGCTGGTGTAATATCTATCAAGTGTGAAGTCAGGCAAGCTGCAAACATGTTCAGATTGTCCCATCTCTCAGTACTAGTCAGAATTTAAACCTGTGGTCACGAGGCATTGTCAAAGTCATCATGATGTTGGCAGTGTCTTGCCTGCAACAAGGAGCAGGACCAGATGATCTCCTATCCCTCAAGTGTATGGCATCTCTTGACTTATTTTCTTAGCAGTAATCATTTTTGTATGTCTCAATACGGCAACGGTTATGAAAGAAGAAACTTTATTGCCTAAAAGAGCAACTTACCACCTGATAGCTGTCAGATAACAATTCTCAGTAACATTTCTTTCCGATATTTTGCTGAAGGAAATATTTGGTACTCAGGATTATAACCACATAGAAACTGAAACCAGAATAAGCTCTCTTATTTAGCCAAGGCAATAAAACCCAAAGCTTCATGAATAGACCCGGTGTTGATGCACTTGAGAGGAAAATCATCTGCCTGATGACAGATCCCTCATGGGTCCTGCAGCTTTTAGGCATTTACAGCAGAGATTTCCTGTCTGGACTGGCTTTCACTCCAAGGCCTAAACTGCTTCTCCTTTCTTCTAGAGCTTTTGGAGCTGTTTGTAAAGCACTTGACACTACCACTGGAGGACACGTAAGTGTCAACACCCCCGCAGATTCTGCAGCTCTTGAATGCTTTCCCCTCTGGTGTGAGCTGTGGCTGGAGCTTTGGGTCACCGGTAGATCTTTACTGCAAAGGCAAGAGAAGTGCAGACTAGTGTCAGCCTGCAAAAGGCATTTGAGACAGACTTAGTCCTTTTCAGCTGTCAGAAAGAACGGTATCTTTCAGAGAAGGACACCCTAGCTTGGTCTTAATGGCTAAATATGCATCAACAAGGTGATGGCGTCTGCCGTCATCCAGGCCCAATTTCTCTGAATCACAGGTTCAGACACAGATAGGATTTAGCTTTTTTCTTTCATCATGTCTTTCATCTCTAAAGCACAATGCAAGACCTAATGAAGGAGAGCTCATGCTTGGGTTTTGTATTTCAGTCCTAGAGAAGCTGGTTGACACACACGCACACACACGCACAGATCACCGAGAAGACATTTATTGAGAGCAACAGTTTCTCCTAAGCAGTACTGCCCTGTTTAGGTCCATTGTCAGTGGCAGCCCATTACAGGGATCCTCATAATAAGAATAGACAAGATGGTGTCTTAGACAGTCTCACTGGTCTTTGTGACTACAGCTTCAGATTCCTGAATTCTCGTTCCTGGCTGTCAGCAAATACGTCTGAATCTTACTGGTAGTTCCTTATCCACCTGCAGTGTTGCACTTTGGAACTGCGCTTAGAGAGAGGTCTGCAAGGGGTCTTAAAAGCCCTAAGCCCTGCTTATAGCCCAGGGCTTATACATGGAGTACCAATGCATGTATTCTTTTTAAGCCCACACAACAATTGCAAATGTAAAGTGTGTTATGGAATTTTCTTTAGAGTAGCAAAATCAAAATTCATGAAGTGTGGCCATGCTAGAATTTTATTTTTGGGGGTAACATTAATGGTCTTTTTTAGATGGCATTTTACCCACAGCATATGTGTTTGCTTTGTTGTACAATCCAGAATAGCAGCAGTTGTTGAAATAATGATCAAACCACACAGAACTGCCAGAGGATTTCCAGCTACTTTGATATATTTTCACAGGAACAAATTCACTTCCTGCTTGCAAAACATGTGTGAATGACTATAGTACTGATAAACTAAGTCCATTTGAGAAGAATGTGTGTGCAGAGAGTGTGGTCAGAGCTTTGTGGGTGATAGCTGAGAGACCATTTTTACCAAGTCGACAAGGCAGAACATCCATGGACACATGTCCTCAGCTGACACCCAAGCAGGTGGAGAAATAGGCATTATAATGTCAGTTCCCAATTACTCTGATGTCTAATCACAAGGCAGTTTGACAGAGCTCGGCTGTGTCATTCCAAAATCACTCACTGCATGTTGGTTGTGGTCTTGTGCCACCGACTTCTTAAGTTTATGATTTTCAATGTCATTTTAGGTGGCAATAAAGAAAATCAGTCTTCAAGAAACCAGCAAGGAACTAACTCTTAATGAAATCGAGGTCATGAGGACAAATAGGAATTCCAACATTGTTAACTATTTGGACAGGTGACCAGTTCCGAACGTTTGTTTACATACTGCAAGCATCCAAGGTTAAAAAAATTCTTTGGTTACTGTCAGAAAATTGAGCTGTTAATTATTAATTAATTATTATTTATCTGCTCATCTCCAACAGATGGGAGGAGATTGCATTTTGTCTGCATTAATCATTTTTGCCACACATAGTTCAAGAAGTTGGATCAGCCCTTTCTCACTAAATCAATAGCTCCCTCCAACTGTTTTGCAGTTTGGGGGGTTGATTTTTTTTCAAGGGTCTTAAGTGTTGATAAACCATCACAGAAATTATTTCCCTGGGGCTTTTCTCACTCTTTTCTGTTGCTGTGGGTGCCAGGAAGACTAGATCCTTGTCTCCAGAAATACATAGTGTGGCAGTTCTTTTAGCTTGTTTGTTACTAAACTGCCTTTTATCCTTGCTGGCCATCTAAAACATCTCCTTTTTCACAGATGTGCTTTTCTGATTTAGACTGCATAGATTGCAAGCACTGTACAGCCTAGGCAGAATGTCTATTCATTTTATTCTGTCTTTGAAAGGGACCTGGAAACAAAAATCTACTGTCACCTTTTCCGTAAGGCAGTTTAGCTGTGCACAGTCATCTCCATGCCCTTGTTGTGTTCTTTCAGCTACATTGTGGAGGAGGAACTCTGGCTGGTCATGGAGTACGTGGATGGAGGCACTTTATATGATGTTATCAGTGAGACATGCATGTCTGAAGGACAGATGGCAGCTGTTAGTCGGGAGGTAAGGGATCCTGCCTGGGCTTCCAATGGCTTGGACAGGACTGTCCTGCTAAACAGGTGGTAAGAGCAGGAGTGATTTTCATGTTTGGAGCTTTGTTTCTGTGTTGCTGTTATGATGTGGAAGAGAAAGAGCAACTGAAGTGAACTGCCTACCAGTGTCCCTGCCCTCACTGTACTCTGTTCTTACACTCTTACATGTTGTTGTGGTATTCTCTCTCTTTTTTATTTTTATTTGCTGCTCTCCACTTTGCCTGTGCAACATTTGCATGAAGCCTGTCTGCACTGCATTCCTTGCCTGTAAAAGCAAACATGCTTGTGGCAGAATTTTAAACTAAGGGCAAAGAGAAATAGAGACTCACTTCTCACAGTGATCACTGTGAAGTGATCCACTTCATAGCAGAGGGAGAGACTTAAACCCTTGTTTATTTGGATGGGAGAGCACATCCACTGCTGCAGCAGTCTTTCCGGCTGGGTTTGCCTTGAACAACAATTACCATTTCTTTTTCAAAAGCTGATATGGCTTCACTTAGAAAGCTGCTCCTCTACTGGTGTTGGATCAGCAAGCTCTTCCTCTTGATAGCACTGCGTTCGGCCATTACTCACCCTTCCCCTGGAAAGGAAATCTTTTAGAGTAGTTTTCTTTCTTGTGTGATGAAACCAGATCACTGATTTTTACCCTCCTGTTTCTCTTTTCTCTCTCAGTGCCTGCAAGGACTATATTTCCTTCACTCAAATGGGGTGATCCACAGAGACATAAAAAGTTCAAACATTCTCATCAGAACGGATGGATCTGTCAAGTTGGGTGGGTATCCTTAGTCAGGTGAAGTGTTCCAGGGATGTGGGGCATGGGGCTGCTTTTGAATGACTGCCAGTTCCCCAGAAGTGGTGCTTGTGGGAGTGCATGGACTCCTGCTGCAGCCTGAGAGCACAGGCACACTTTGCAAGGTGTCAAGAGTGATGTTGGCTTGTGTATGCCCTTCCAGAGGGAGGGAGTTACAATCTAAAACTTCTGGTGAATAAAAGACACTGCTGGGGGCAGTTTAAGAAATGTGGCAGTTTTTGAAGTGGCCAATTCCATAGTTCCTTGGCTACAACCCTGAGGAAACAGAACATGGTGTGCTTTCCAGATAGATTCAACATGGCATTCTCACACTTAGAGTGGGGAAGTCTTCTGTTTGTTTTCCTAATCTGAGTGGGCTTTCACAGTATTTGTTTTTCTCCTCAGCTGATTTTGGCCTCTCTGCTCAGCTCAGCCTTGAGCAGAGTTATCGAAACTCAGTGATTGGGACTTCTTGGTGGATGGCACCAGAAGTTGTGATAAGCAAACCATACGGTCCCAAAGTGGATATATGGTCATTTGGCATCGTGGGACTGGAAATGGTGGAAGGAGAAGTTCCTTACCAGAATGAAACATCTGTTCTGGTAAGGTGCAAATACTTGATGATACAAATGTCTTTCTTATCTGTCCCATGTTCTGTCTGCCATAAGACAAAGTCTCATTCCCACCACCTTGAATTAGTTCCACCAAGACCCACTTCTAAAAACGTCCTTGGAGCACATCAGCAGCTGCTGTAGTTTTGGTTACGTCAATGGGGGAACCTCAGAAGAGAAGTGGCCTATAGCCGTTTTGGCCTTCAGTGATGCTTGACATTTCTCATGTGCTTTTTGAACTCACTTTGAGCTCTGTCTCTTAATGATAAGAATTTTTCAGTGAAGAGTTCAGCAGTGTCATCATTATCCTCTGAAATGCAGGTTGAACCTTCCCAGTTTCAGTTTTAAAAGAAAAAGAAACAACCAGCGAAGCAAACAACCAAGCAGTTCTGCTTGCTTTTTCCATTATTAACCACAGCACATCAATTTTCCTCAAAACTGTAGCATTGTCGCAGTCTGATGAGACTGGACTGTTTGCTAAAGAGGATGAGTTATGAGGTAGACCAAACTCCTGTCTCTCAGCAATTGTAATATCAAAATTAAGGGGCTTTACTCGAGGAAAATGTGGAAAAACAGAAGAAATAACAACCCTTTATTGAAAGATATATGTATGTTGGCAAAAACAGTAATAAAACCACAGCAGAACTAGACACCAATCCTAGAAAACAACAACAACAACAACAACAACAAAAGTCTAAATGAATACTTCTCTGTCCTTTAGCACAGTCCTAATTGTGGCCTGCAGGGGGCGCTGTTGGATCGCTGGAAGGTGCAGGGTCTGCAGCGCCCTGTCGTGGTCAGCAGGGGGCGCTGTTGGGCTCCAGCAGTCACCACGTGGGAAAAAGGGGTCTGGAGGGAGCAGTCCCGGCCCGCAGGAGAAGCCGAGAAGGGAATAGGGGGCCCCTTTCCTCAACGGAAGGAAGGGGAAAGAAAAAAAAGTTCACCCCCCAAGAGGACTCGCTGTTCCCGGGTGGTAGTGTTCCAAGGCTCTCCCCTCTTTCTCCCAGCAAGCATAGACCTCTCTGATGAAAAGAAGCAGAAATGACTCATCGGTCCCGGCGGGAGTCCCGAGACACTGGCGGTGCAGGGCTGGTGGTCAGGTCTCACCAGGACAAAAGAACCAGGAAAGAGAGAGCTGGCTCCCAGGCTTTTCCTCTAGAGATGCCTGAAAACAGTCCCCATCTCTGTCCTGGCCAGAGCACTCTGCCGTCTCACCTCTCCTCCTGTCTGCCCAGCCATCCCCCCTCCCTCCAGCAGTCAAATGGGCCTTTAACCAAGCCAGCCAGTTCCTTTTTAAGGCTAATCGATCCCCTTCCCCCTTCGAACTCTGTTTCTGTTACAGGGAAAGCAGGGGAAGGGAAAATTCCTCTTTCAGATTCATAACCCATAACAAGCATCTTTTCCAAATCCTATGGATCTGTAAAATTTCACACTTCTAAACCATGTGTATATTGTTGTGTCATGTGTCTGGTTGGCCTGGATAAATTTAGGATCTCGTTTTCACAGACTGCAGCTAGAATTGTATGCCTTGTCTGTTTGTTGGTATGTTATACAAATTAATGAGCTTATTGCTCCTTTGCAGCTTCTGCAAATACTGATTTCAAGCCTTACCACAGGCAAAGACTCCCCATTCTCAGGCAACACTTTGCCATGGGTCTTAAGTTGTTCCAGCTCTTCTGTCTGTGAAGATGACCCTGAAAACATGACACAAGTGTATCGGAACTAGTCTTATCTTTCCAGAAAAGAAGAAAAGAAACCCAAACCTGACGAGGTTTCTAAAATAGTGTTTTTGAGAGATGAACTGCATTCCCTCTCTTCTCACTGGAAAGCTTGCCTAAAACTGGAAGATGATGGAGCAAAGGCCATATAGTCTGTTCTGCTTCTTATCTAGTTTTGCTGAAACACTTGGTGACCGTATTTCTTTCATAGTCCAAGCCTGCCAAAACCTCCTGTTTGTTGCCTGTCAGTTTCTGGGATGGGCACATCATTAATTGAGTATCCAAATGAGCAGAGGGTTACCATAGGAATGGAATTACTCCTTTTTCTGATTAGACTGTGGAAAGTTTTTCTATTACTTCATAACTGAAGCTGATCTGAAATTTGGAGACTGCTGAGAGACACAGTTGCAGGTGGCTCCTATCTGCCCAAATGGGCATTTTCATCACAATACCTTTGTGCAGGCAGCGTAACGTTCCTGTGTTGAACATCAGGTTCCAAACATTTGTTTCTTTATGCAAGGAATCACTGATGTATTTCCTTGTTTTTCCTCCGGTTACTTTTTTTATCAAGAACAGAACAAAAAAAATGATGATTTTTGTTTTATGGTAGCTTAAGGGACCAGGGAGCAGTGCAGAGATGTGTTTAATCCTTGGAAATGGTATAGTTAGACCAAACTCCCTCTTTAAAATAGCAAGAAAAGCAAAAAGTGCTTTTGCTGATGTAGTTCCTACTAACCAGGTCAGCCAGTGGAATCAGCTGTCAAGGCAAGACTGTTTGGATGTTGGAAAAGCTGTGGCTACATCGTGGTCTGACTTTTTTGTTGGTATAGGAAAGTCATCTCTAAGCCTCTGCCAGGGAAGAAACTGCCACTGGAGACTGGAGCATAAACAATGGGGTCTGGGAGAGCAGTTGGGGATATGAAAGAAACAGGCAGAACCTCGTGTTTCCTTTTCCTCTAGGCTCAGTACATGATAGCCACCGGAGGGGCACCCAAGCTGAAGAACCCCAAGCAAGTTTCCGCTTGGCTGCGTGACTTTCTGACCTGCTGCTTGGAGACGGACCAGGACAGGCGCTGGTCTGCTGAGGAACTCCTGCAGGTAAAGTGCAGAGCGACTGCAGGTGGAATGGCTGCCCGAGGGATGTGTCCCTCATTAATTAAACTCCAAGGTATCATGAGCCCCTCTCATATTGATCTCCCATCTTAGTGTTTTTCAAATGAGAACTGTGAGGAATCCTAGACTGGTTTGGGTTGGAAGGGACCTGTAAAGGCCATATAGTCCAAGTGCCCTGCAATGAGCAGAGACGTCCTCAAGTAGATCGGGTTGCTCAGAGCCCTGTCTTACCTGACCTTGAACATTTCCGGGAATGGGGAACCTACCAGCTCTCTGGGCAACCTGTGCTGGTGTTTCACCACACTTGTAGTAAACCATTTCTTCCTTAGACCTAATCTGAATTGACACTCTTTTAATTCAAAAATATTACTCCATGTCCTATTGCAACTGTCCTGCTAAAAAATGTGTCCCCAACTTCCTTATAAGCCTCCTTGAAGTATTGAAAGGGGGCAATAAGGTCTCCCCAGGGCCTTCTCTTCTCCAGGCTGAACAAGACCAATTCTCCCAGCCTTTCCTCAGAGGAGATATTTTCTACACTCTGATCATTTCTGTGGCCCTGTTTTGTACTTTGGGAGTACATTGAGTTTTACCTGGTGGCAAAAAGGCTGAAGTAGAATGGTGCTGTGTACAGAGGCTTGAAATGGTGGTGGAGGAACCCAATGAAACCAGTCCCAATCAAGTGGGATTTGTTGATTTGGCTGTGGGAAGGAACAGGCTGTGGAAAGCTCACTGAGAGCCTCAGAGGGGCCCTGATTGTGTCCCTCCTGGCACATTCTTAGAGGTTTCCGCCACCCAAAAAGAGACAGCTGAGCAGGACTTGTCCTATCCCCAGTTGCTGCCTGGCACAGTCAAGCAGATGAGAACTGCTACAGGGTTACTGCCAGGTTTTGTGGCAGATCAGGAGCTGCAGGACATGACAATGGGCTGTCCCTGCTGGGAAGGAAGGTGCCAGGCAGCACAGGAGGGGCAGGGGATGGAAAGGTAGACACTGCTCTCTCTCTGAAAATTAGCACAGCTCATGTCTTTAAAAAAGAGGAACCTGTATGAGCCTTTGCAGTTTCCTGAAAGGACGAACCCTTGGGACAGAAAGCAGCATTCCTAGAGTCTCAGCAGGGCAAAAATCCCAGAAAGCTGAAGACAGCTGGATAAATTGATGAGTGGGCCTGTGATGGCAGGTCCTACCTCACCATGAAGATGGAGGTGCAAATAGGCCCCTCAGTTGTATTTCTGCATCTTTCTGGGAACCAGAGGAGTCCTGCTTGAGTCTGTGAGTTTTGAAAGTCATGGTTCACTGCTTTTTTGGTCTTTTTTTTCCTTTGGGCAGCATCCATTTGTAGAATCAGCCAAGCCTGCCTCCAGCCTCGTGCCGCTTATCACTGCAGTGAAGAAGTGGAAGGAAGAGACAAGACTCCAACAACCAGTCGAGGACCATTTTCTTCAGTGGCAGCTCTAGGCAGGACTCAGAATAAAAACTCCACAAAACCTCAACTCATTTGGAAGATTCTCTTCGTTCTCATCTTGTGAATAAGCTCAACATTTACTTGTGAATTGTCAGTTGTTTCTTATAGGTGGAAAGTCACATTTATTGGTTCTTTCATGTGGTATGGAACTGGAAAGGGTCTTCTTCCTTCATCAGCTCCACATTGCACTGCCTTTGGAATACTGCTCTTAAAAATCTGCCTACTGTTCTGTTCTCTTGTCCCTGAGGGTAGTTTTCCAGGGGGTCCTGGGGAAGGGGAGGGGTCCAGAGTAAATCCTTGAAGAGCTGAAATTTTGTTTTCCTAAAGTTCTGGGTCATGACTTTACTCTTCACCTGACCCATATCCCTCAGGACTGTGAACTGCTCCAGTGCGGGATCACTGCAGCTCAGGCTGCCTCCAGTCTTGGCATTCCTGACTAGCTCACTGTGTTGGTGACCAACAGATCCAGTATTGCATCTCCTCTGGTTGGGTTATTGCCTGGCCTGAGAAGTTATCCCCCATGCATTCCAGGAGTCTCCTGGATTGCCTACAGTTTGCTGTGCTACTTTCCCAGCAGATCCTGGGGTGGTTGAAGCCCCCCATCAAGCCTGCAAGCACAATGCCTCCTGCAGATGGAGCAGAAAGGTGTCATCAAAAGGTTCCCCTTGGTTAGGTAGCCTGGAATAGACACTGACCATGAGGTTCCCTTTGTTGCCTCAGTCTGATTCTTACCCACAGGCTTTGACCTCCTTGTGGCTTTTCTTCAGAGACAGCTCTTCACGCTGTATCCAACTCTTAACATCTCTGCTTTGTCTGTGACTATATGTGAGGTGACCAACCTCATCAAGCAATGGACCAATGTTATCTCTGATCCTCCTTCTGCTGCCTTTTGCCATGGGTGTATTTAAAAAAGCTCTTTTTATTGTCCCCTGCAAGTACTGCCCAGCTTCAGCTCCAATTGAGCTTTGGCCCCACAAATTTTCTCCCTACAGTGGAAAACACAGTCTCTATAGTCTTCCTATGTTGCCTCGCCTTGCTTCCAACATCCACATACATTCCATTTCCATCCAAGCTAAGTAAGTCCAGCCAGCCTTCCATTTGACATCTGGCACACTGGAATTGCCAGCTCCTGTGCTCTTAAGAAATGGCTCTTAAGTTTACAGCTGAAGCAGAGAAAAACTAAGTTGGTCTAGAAAAATACTGCAGCTACCATCTAGGGAAACAGGAACAGCAAGGAGCAGAAGTCCTTACAGAGAAGCCTGCTGTCTACATTTCAACTGAGCAAGGAGTTTCATTTTCCATGTGCTGAGAGACCAAGAGCTAAGAAGCAACCTTAACTATTTTTAAACACAGTATTTCAGTAAGAGGCATTTCACAAACATTCCCTAGAAAGCTCCTGACAAGCAATGCAGAAAAAACAGCTCACTTAGAGTCTGGGAAGTGAGAAGCAAGTTAAAACACTTTAGCAACTTATAAAAGATCATGGAGAGAAGCCACCCCAGGGCTGGGAGGTGGATCCTGAGCCCTGTCCTGAGCTGACCTTTTTGCTTAGAAAATCCATTTTCATATCCATCATTTCTTGCAGGTAAATAGCGTTCCACAGGAGTAATGCCTACATAAGAAAATCATTATTTAAAGCCTCTAATAGCTAACATATCCTGGTTGCCTGGTCTGATACTGTCTGCTTTCCACTGCAGATAAAAAAAGGGTATATTGGATATAGAGCAGCAGGCTACTACAGGAATTACTTATCATAATTCCCTGCTTTTCGTAGGGATAGGCCACTTCATTTGCAACTGCCAATACCACTAGGATTTGGTTTAGATCAGTCTTCAGCGGACAAGAGCTCATGTGCTAGCCAACTGCACCACCTAGCTTCACTCTGAAGCATCTTCAGAGCCCTGTTTTTTGTGACACCAGTGCTTATATTCCTTCAAGGTAAATGCTTCTCTCTGTATCACTCCTACTCATCTGGTGTCTCACCAGTGATACTACAAATAATTCTAACACTTTTGACACGTGCAGAGTTCAAGAAACTTCTCACCTTAAAAAAAGGTTGTATTGGTGTTCACAGGCACATAACAGAGCTTACTTTGCCCTTCCATTCTTCTACCTTACACAGACTAGTGTGACCTTTTAGCCCATGGATACTTCCTGTAACTCCTGGGTCACATTTACTGGACAGCACCTGTTGGTTTGATTCATTACTGTGTGGAGCAATACTGATTAAAACAAACCTCAGGAGATAGGAGCTTCACCACTTACTGGTACTGTGCCTGAGAAGTTAAAAGCTCCCTTTTCCAGCTACATTTCCTTTTCTAAGGGTGTTTTAAAACAGGGTGCCTGTGATCTCTAACTTCAACCAAAATTGCCCTGACTTTGAAATGAGAACTGGCACATTCCAACCAAGTTTCAAGTCTGACAAAAGCATGCTTTCTGCAGTTTTTGAACTTGAGTATTGGGAAGCAACACAGCAGACTCTCTAAACACCTGGGAAAAGACACCATGGTGTGACTTTTAATCACTTTCTGACCCCATCTAGCTTCACTGCTCTAAAGAAGAGTGAGAGCAGAACCAAGTAGCCTTACCTAAGCTTCAGACTAAAGAGCAATATGAATGTGGCTACTGCAGCCCTCTGATGAGCAATCTGGGCCATAGTCCTTTACAACAAATTTTCTCAGTGCCTCTGAAGACTCAGCGAAATTCACACGTGAAATCTACACATGACCAGTTCCAGTCAACCTGGGTAGGCAGCCAGAAAAATAAGCTAGGACAAAACAAAGGGCCTCTTGGAAACTTCACAGCCTGTTTGTAAGGTGTCCTGTGGCCCTTCTTCTCTGTCTCTCCTAGACTGGTACTTCTGATCCAGTCCCTGCCCTAGAATAAAAGGTACATCCCTCTTTCATATAAAAGCTGTGGATAGAGCACCATAATTCTCTTACAGCAATGACACCTCATTTTGTATGGATTTAGGGCGTCAGAACTCAGCAGTGGCCGAGCCACTGAAACGCTGCCCTTGCTGAGTCACAAGACAGATTCCTTCATTACTAACTGCACTTAAACTAATACAGAAACCACGAGTAGCAAAAGAGTTCTAGTCTGAAAGGAGACATGAAAACAATCAAAAAGGGAAGGTTTGTGCCCTTATTTTGACAGGATACACTATGAAAGTCACAGCAAGCTTATCGGTCCACAGAGTCTGCACCCTTTCCTGCACAGCTTGCTTTCAAGATTTCTCAAAATGTGTTCCAAGAGCAGAAGATATTAAATCTCTTTTTTATGTGTCACACAATCTCAGTTTCTGCCCAGTGTCCAGAACATCCTCATACAGGAGCAATTTTGGCAATTGTGTTTTGTTCCCTATTCCTTGATCTTATTTGATTCCTGCCAGGCTTCATCACACATTCCCTATGGATAAAGCAAAGCAGTGCATTATTTAAGAGGCTTGGGCTACAACCTTTGCTCATACCCCAAGAGTACCAAATGCAGTGTGACCACTCACAACAGCAAACTTACAAGACCAGGCTGTGAATCTCAAAACTGTGCACTATTCAACACATGGCAAAAAGTAATAATTTCACACTCACCTGGTACTGTATCAGCTTTAAAACTCTTTCTGGGCTAGACACAAATAAAATACAGCCTCTTTTTCGAATTGCCTGATTCAATTACCTGCCATGCTTTTTAGTATTTTCAGGAATCTTTTTATTTTCTAATGTGATACAAGGTATTCCCTCAGTCTGCTTTTCTGAGAACTGACTTGTCTTTAAACCCAGACTCATGCTTCTGTTTTAGGTGACGTCCTTTCAACATTTGCCAAAACAAAAAACCCCAGCAAATAAAGCTTTTAATCCAGAGCAGCATCACCTGCTTTGTGCACTGTGGTACCTGTTAGAAGATGCAACAAAGGTAGCACGTGTGATGGCTGAAAACAACACAGTATGATCCACAGGGAAGGAAAACAGAGCAGTCAAGTGTGAGCAGAAAGCAACAGGGAGAAAAACTGCTCGTGTTTTTCAGACAGTGAAAACCATGACTGTGAATACTTCCAGAAAGTGTCTGGTCTGAGACAATCACTTCAGCTCCATATGACAAAGCAAAGTGTGTGGGTGGGGAAATCAGTAGCTGCAGGAACCTCTCTAATTCACTTTAAAGATAAAGCACATTGGGTAACTATGGACTGATCCAACCCCAACCTGAGGGTGGGCCTGCCAGGTGTAAGCTGTGACTTCCTTTTGATAACAGCCAGTATCAAGCATTTAAAATGGAAGCCAAAAGAAGTCCCTCAGTAGAAATTAAACTTACAATGCCTTTGCAGATGTTGTGATGATGAAACAGAAATTAAACCAGTTCAACAGTGGATGAAAAAACTCAATAAAGCAAGTATTGAAAAAAAAATAATTGCAACAAATAAGCAATTTTAGGCTACAAGATATTTAACAAAAAAAATACAGTCCATGGCAAAACAGCTTGCCAGCTTTACCCATTTTCAGGAATATGTTCCTGAGGAAGCAGCACACCTCAGTATTTTATCATGAGCCACGGGCAAAGCCCTCACCTACTGTCTTGAGGAACATGTCTAGAGGTGTCCTGAAGCAGTAATGCTCAGATAAGCTTTGTTCAGGTATGAACGAACTTTGCAAACCTGTGGCTGTCCTCCATAACACTGTTTATGTTCTCTTTCTCCTTACTCCAGTGTCCATAGACAATGGTCTACCTTGCAAGAACTTCCTTTACTCTAGAGTAAATCACTCCTGGCTGATCATCTCCAAACTGAGATCTTTACTGTTGCTGAGAAGATGGTGATGGGCCATTTCTCCCATTTGTTGTCATCAATACAAGGATTCTGCTAGATTGCCTGCTGTTGCTGCCCTGTTTTTACTCAGACAGATTCACCTCCTTACCCTTCATCCTGCTTTAGTTTTCACTTCAGGTATAATCACACTCAGAAGAAGCTCAGAAGCAGGAAAAGCTCTGTTTTAACCTAAGAATGACCACGAACACAGTGCTGACAGTGAGCAGA